GCTGTTGGGCAGGGGCTTCTGGGCCTGGCGATATCGACCTCTTGATCTGGGAGTGGTTTCTCGCTGTGCAGACATGTTTTTAAACTCTTCTGTGCCCACTAGATACTTCACACCCTTAGGAGTGGTTCAGAACAGATTTTCAGACCTACCTCTGCTGCTCCCATGGCCAAAGTCCTTGGCTTAAAGGGATGAAGTCTGGAAGGACAGAGCTGCCTCACAGATCCACCAGACCTTAGGAGCTCACGCTCAGCACCTGCCTGCAGCCAGCACCTCACGGCATCATCCTACCTCCTAAGGCCTGAGCCACTGCCTGGGGGCCCTGCAGTGGTGTAGGGAGCGTTTCGCTTCCTTTAGAACAGCCCCCCAAATCTGGAAGCCATTTAAAACTCTGCATAAAAGCCACAAGCCAACCCCCTGAGGCCAGCAGGGCCACCAGCTGCAAGGAACAAGATGCAGGCCACATGCAAGGGGCCTAGGACCACTCGTCCCACAACAGAAAGGTGGACCCAGGGCTGCTACCTGCTTCAGAGTAAATGTCAGGCCGTTTAGTGTAAAACCAGTGAAATCCACATTGGTCCTGAGGTTCCTCAAATTATTCAATTTGAGCAAATATTCCTGGAAACTTGTGGGAACGGCCCCGGTGCTCACTGGTCTGACTTGGCCGGCAGGGAGGCCAGGTGCGCAGAGCAGGGCGGGTCCCTGACATGGAACGATGCCGGAAGCTGTGACCGGGGAGCCTGGAGGCACTTACCCAATGTACTGTAGCGGGTGACTCTGGTGGATCACAATCCTACACGTGGGGCAGGTGTTATTCTCTTCCAAATACTTGACCAGGCAACTCCGACAGACTGTTTGCAAAAGCACATGCATGTCAGAAAGTGAAACCGGAATGCAGATGCCGACACCTCCTCGGGCTCGGCGTGCACTCCAGCCACAGTGCAGACCACCTCGCACATGGCCGCTTCGATGGGACACCTGCCTCTCAGGTCTCACCAACAATGGAGAAGTCTCAAGTGCTCACTTAGGCGCCTCACTCAGCAGGTCTGAGCGTTAGGGTTAAGAGGGACGAGGAAGGAACCTAAGTGAGGACAAGGTGCCCAGAGGTCAAGAGCTGAGACTTCACTAGAATGCACTTCAGGGTCTCGTCCGAATATTCTCACCACAGGGGCTAACAGTTACAATTTTCATCTTTGTCTAAAAAAAAAAATCACAAGATTTTCTGTGTATAACAGAATTCGAGAAAATTCAATGATAATAACAATTTAAAGCTATGATTACCTTTAAAATAAAAGTTCCATCAAAATTGGCAAATATTTTATTTTCTAAGGCAGAAAATACAGGATCAGACGTCATCTGCATTCCAGGCATTGGTTTTACTGCAAAGACCCTGTCCCCACAGAGGGCTCCTGCCTGGCATCCTCAGCCACCGTCCCAGCGGCTAGCTTCGGGTGAACGGCACCTGCTAACTGTTCAATCAAGATGGGGCTTAAATCACCCCAAGTTCAGCACAAGCTAAGAGTCTTCTAAACATCAAAACACAGGCTCATTAGCCTTGAGGAGCCAAACCACATTTCCCTGTTTAAAAAGTTTAAGGAATTCATTTGGAAATTTTAAAAGTAAGCATTTCTGCCCACTACAAATGAATATTTTGTCATAATGCAGTTATACTGGTTTTGCGGTTACATAGAAATAACTAAATTTTTCCTATATTTAGCTTTCTTAAATGATATCGCTACTCAAATTACCCATAGTATTTTTAATTTGAAATACTTTTTCTGATTTAAGATCTTCGTTAGTCCTGCTTCTGTGTCTTGCTTTGTGCTCGAGCTAAAAGCTTTTGGTGAGAAAAAAAAGAAAGAAAGAAATAAAAGAAAAAAGAAAGCCCAAGGATCAAGAAACCACAAGGCTCAAAGCTGTCAAAGGCCACGTTCTAGGACATTCCGCCATACACATATGCAGACACTCAGTCACATCTCTCCCACGGCTGTCAAACACCATGTTCTAGAATATTCCCCACATACACGTGTGCAGACACTCGGTCACCGTGGTCGCGTCGATGAGATATCCGCTGCATAGGCGGCAGGTGATGTGGGCGTTTATGTCCCAGAGTTTAATCTTTCTGGTCAACATCTTTGGCTTCTGCAAGAAAAAACGACTTATTAAGTAATATCTGAAATACTCCCATGTGTTTCTTTTTCTTTCTTTTTTTTTTTTAAGATTTATTTATTTTTAGAGAGAGAGGGAGAAAGAGAGGGAGAGGGACAGCATGAACAGGGGAGGGGCAGAGAGAGAGAGAAAATCTTCGGCAGACTCCCTGCTGAGCAAGGAACCCGATGCAGGGCTTGATCTCACGACCCTGAGATCACGACCTGAGCCGAAACCAAGAGTCGGATGCCCAACTGACTGCACCACCCAGGCGCCCTGGAAATACTCCCATGTGTCCCATCAAAGGTCCAGCCTCAACATAAATCAAGCCACAGCACATCCTCCTAGAAGGGCTCAGCTACCCACCAGGGCCAGGTCCAAGCTGCAAAGACTCTGGGGCCTGACTTCCATCTGTAGAACGGAGTGCTGTAGGTCTTCTCACAGAGGACCCTGACTGTCCTGCCAAATACCCGACGGGCAGCACTCCGCAAATGCACTACCGCTTCCCCTTAACCACCCATGACACTGCCCCCGCTGGGCCCCCCTGACCCTCTCCTGCTCAGGATTGAGCTGAGGCCAGCTGGTGAGGTGGGTGGGTGAGTCAGGAGATCCGTGTAGCTGCAGGAAGAGAGGCTGCGGGAGCAGGCAGGCTGTGCTGGGTCTGGGACAGGAGGCTGTGGGGTCACTGCCAGAGCTTCTGGCTCCTCTGTAAAGCTAGGGGACAAATGACCCTGAGGGACGCTAGTGAGGGCAACGTTGGCCCAACCGGAACGAGAAGCAAAGTCCCTCGATGAGGCCTCAGTGTGGACACAAAGGAACAGCCGATAAGCACATGCAAAGGTGCTCAGCCCACAGATACATCCACACATGCAGGTCACACCACATGTCATTCCAACATCAGAAGGCAGTATTTCAGATATTCCAGTCGACGTTCAGTCCTGACAAGTCCCAGGGAAGCGGACAAAGGGGCTGCCAACCAGATGTACCCAAATAGAATAGGAGCTGTTCCATTTCTAGAGATTTATCTTAATAACAGGACAAGTTCAAAAGATGTTTGCTGCAATTGTTTAAAATGGCAAATCACAGAAAACTGCCACTGAGGACTGCCTAAGAAAGCAATTTCATTTCGCCAGCAGGGGCGCCAGACCCTCCTCCCCTTCTCTCTGCCCTGTCCAGGGGAAATCCAACCAGCCCCACAGGACCTCACCCTTCCTGGGTCTCAGTAGCCTCCTGGCCCAGCACAGCCCAGTCCCAGAACTGGAGGTTCCCAAGGCCACCTGCCGATCCCCGTCACTATCCCACAGGACATCAGCGTTGCACACACCATGGCATCATCAAAGTCCAAACATTTGTGCGCTGAAGTGCTGACATGTTGTCTCTGTCTCGGGGGTGGGGGGTGCGCCCCTTCCTGCTCGGCCCCCACTGTACTGGTCTCTCCCTAGACCACAGGCTCTATGAAGGTTGGCTTTGTTACTGCATCTCCTGAGCTCTGCCAGGAGTTACAGTAGCTCTTGGGGATGTCCAGATCCTACCCCCATCACTTCACATGGGAGATGGTCCCAGAGGACCCCGTAGACCCCATGTCATCACAGGGCCCTTAAAAGGGGAGTTGGGAGGGTCAGAGTCAGAGAGACCAGGAGACATGACACTGCTGGCTTGAAGGTGGGCCACGGGCCAAGGGTGCGGGTGCCCCAGAAGCTGGAAAAGACAAAGAACAATTCTCCCCTGAAGCCAGAAGGAGCCATCCCTGGGGGCACCTTGACTTCTGACCTTCGGAACTGTCAGATGACACATTTGTGCTGCCGGTCCTTTGTTACAGCAGTAGTAGGAAACCAACCCGAAATGCTGCTCCAATGAGTACTTACAGAGTGAATGTTCCCAAAGTAAGCATTCCTAACAGAATTCTGCACAAAGACCAGAAACAGGCCTGTCAGAGTCGAGGGCATCACTGAGGGCGGCTGGCCGCACAGTGCGTGTGGTTCCCAGGCCACTGGGCAAGGGTACTTGTTGCTTAATGCTGTTTCAGCAAGGGGAAAGAAAGCAAACCACCTGGGGGACTTGAGACCCACTTGCATCCATGTGAGGTCCGAGGGCAGTGCTGGCTATACCTGCCACAGTGCAGTGCAGCCTGGGGGCCTGGCCGGGGCTTTGTGGCTGGATGAGGAGGCAGAGGGCCTGGAGGGAGCAGCAATCTGGAGGTGAATTGTCAGAATCAACAAACTATCAGAGTGAGTGAATGCCATCGGCAGGACTGCCAGGCTAGCGTCGCTCACGGACAGGCTGCAGCAGACTTGCGGTCCCCGCTGGACAGGGCCCTTCCCACCTCCCTTGCAGCCAGGTGTGTCTGTGGGTCGGGGTTCGCTGACATTACTAGGAATCTAGTAAAGATGAAACGGGGCTTGGTGGGAACATTCTCAGAGGGGTTCCTGTGGGCCAATCAGCCTCATCGGGTGAAGATGGACCTGCTCTGAGCCGACGTGGGTTTGCATTCTGTTCTTGGCAAGTGTGTGCACTGAGGCCCAGCCAGGTGGCTGGCCTTCGGGGAACCCAGCATCACCTCGTGGAGCAGGACATAAAAGGACAGAAGGGAAACCCTGGAGTCATCCCAAGCAAAGCAGAGCAGAAAACAGGGGCCTGCTGACATGGAAACCTCATGTGAGGCCCCACGCTGGCCCCAACTGAGTAGTACTGTTCTCACGTCCTCCACCTTCTATTGAGCAGCTGTTTATATGCCAGCCGCTAAGGATATGAGGACATGCAAATATTCCTACCACACAGTAATATGCTCAGCAACAAAATATCTTCCCAATCACCAAGTTAATTAACTGAGCTGCCAAACTAAAGACAAAACAGGGCTCACTTTGGCTGCACTATACTAAAATTAGAACGATACAGAGAAGATTAGCATGGCCCCAGCTCAAGGATGACACACAAACTCGTGAAGCCAAAACAAAGTTCCAGGTCACGCTGGCACAGACGGGGCCTTTGGCCCCTTTGAGGGACAAGGGTTGGTGTGAGCTCATGCTTAGTGAGCAGGTGGGTGAATAGATGAAGACGTGTGTGTGCATGTGAGTGTGGACTCCCACACCTACTTCCCAGCTCTGTCCGTTGGGAGGGCCTGGGAGTAATGGCTCCTTGGCGGCCTAGGTCCCAGTGTGGACACACCACTGTCCGCCATGAGGTTCATGGGTGCAGGCACATGGCTCCCCTAAGGCTGGGCTAGGGATGTAGCAGAAGTGGGGCAGAGAGGATCTGGCCCCAGCTCCAAGGGCTCCACGGGCCACATTGGGGTTGACTGGAGCTTCAAGATTAAGGAGGGACTATCATCAGGAACAGAACGAATCAGACCACAACCAACAGAATACCACAGAAGTTCATGCGGCCACACTGAGACAGACAAATAAGTAAGGGGTGTGCTTCCTTCCAAAAGGTGAGCCGATCACGTGGAAGCGGGAGTCACCAGCCACCACAGAAACCGCAGCGACAGTTTCCTCAGGAATCACCAATGGAGCCTTGTTGAGGAAGAGAAGACTCAAAAAGTCTCAAAGACCCCCCCAACCAAACACTTCCCGGGCACAGAGTGAGAGCGGGGCCTCCAGGTAGAAACACTGTGTAGACATCACTTACTGAGTGACCAGGTGACACCCAGGTGGGCACCAGACGGGTGACAGACAGCTGTGCCTCCTGGAATCATGCCACGAAGGGCACAGCACCCCTCTCGAGACCCCTGCTAATAGAGCACACACGAGTCTCACCTACAGGAAACCCCAAAGGAGGTGACCCCGAGGGAGGCAGGTCGCAAGACACAAGGGAAGATGGACGGGGCAGGTCGCCTGAGTGCAGCGCCCGGCTGAGGGGATGGCCCTGACACCCTGGAACAGGGACCCTCTACCTGCTGACCACCCACATTAGGAGACAAGAGCGGCCCTGAGAGTCCCCCTGGCCCAGACTGCTGGCTCTGCCCAAGCTGGGCCCCAAGGCCAGCCACCCTCCTGTCCTCAGGCCTATGAGGAGTTGCACTCAGAGGGGAAATGTCCACTGTCACCACCACGCAGACATCCCGCCCCTGGGCCTCCCACACCCGGCGGCCCCTGTGCAGCCCTGGTCACCGGAGAGCAGGTGGGCACGAGCCGCACCGACCAGCAGAGCCCGAGATGCCTCGCCTGGTGCGTCTTAGAGCCTCTCGCAGCGGGGAGGGAGGCAGACCCCATGGACGTCAGGAGAGGTCAGCAGTGAACGTGAACAGTGGGCTTTTCACAGCTGTCCATCCCTCCCCACGCGACAACACAGGCTGCCGAAAGGCCGGCCTGGAGGCCGGGCAAGACCGCCTCACCTCTTCTAGATGTCTTCCGTCCCCTCCTCCTGCCTTTGCATCGGGCGCTCAGGCTGCGGCTCTGCTGCTGTAAGTCCTCGCCTGTGGCTTCACTCTGCCCTGCGGGTCTTCACGTCTGCGCCTCCCTGCTGTCCCTTGATCTCTGTCCATTTTCTGGCACAGAAACAGCCCCTGTTATTTCCTGTCAGCTCGTTCACGTAGGATGCACACGGTCCCGTAATGAAGCTGTCTAGAGTTCTTAGGTGAGTCCCACGTAGTAAACAATACAACACGGTCAACCGCAAGTATTAGTTAAGAGGAAATCTGGAGACATGGAAGTGGCTGTACCCTCATCTCCCCTAGAGCTGTCAGAGATTACGCTTTAAAGGAGTTACAAGGAAATGACTTCTGTGGCGACAGTATAATCCAAGGTAAATTTAAGCAATTCACATGCACTGAGGGAAGAGAAAAATCAAAGTTCAAACCGCATTTACCTGTACATGGCAGCCTGGAACCCTCTGCTACATTTTGAAGCCTGTGGAGACACACAACATAGGGGCATCACCCACACATGCTGTCCACACGGAGCCCATGTCCCCCGCCACGCCAGCAGCCTCGTTTTTGCCCATTTACTTGTTTAAAACAACCAAAAGGAAAACAAGATTAATGACACTAGTGAAGAACCAGAACCGACCACAGAGACGTGGACAGATCTCAGTGGCAGTCCTGTACCCTCCGCACACCGCACCTGCCCATAAGTGCCAGTGTCACCAAGGCCCAGGGGCTGCTGGGCTGGGAGGCCCTATGGGAGGTGTGGGGGTAGGGGGCTCCATCACAGCTCCAGAGGAGGGGGCGGATCTCAGGGGCGACCCGATGGGAGGCTGGGACCTCGGGGAGGGACAGGGAATAGTGCACAGTAGTATTTAATTGCTGTGATTTCTGTGTTTTTTGCACCCTCACATCCCTCCTCACATCCTGTAAGGTGAGCACGCAGGCTCCAAGCTGGGTTCCGGGCCACGGGAGGGGTCACGGAGTTCTTGGGGGAGACGAGCACAGACACCAACCAGCACAGGGCTAAGGTCGGGGCCCAGGGAGGACCGTGTGAAGGGCCTCACTGACTGGAGCCTGGTGAACACAGCTGAGGGGAGAGGGTGAGCGTGAGGCCTCCAGGAAGACCTGGGCTCCCATTCTGGGTGACAGGGAGCCAACAGGTTGCTCTCAAAGCTCCAGGGGGGTGGGGGGGTCTGCACCCCAGCCTGCAGGCCCTGGGGTGGTCAGTGTGGTCGGTGGCCACGGTGCCATGTGGGGGCTCAGTCTGAGACTCCTCCAGAACCTCCATGGACCTTTCCCTCCTGCCTGCCCACACTCTCCCTCCTCTGTGGGAAGCCCCGAGGTCTCCCCACCCTCCAGGTGGGAAGGTGGACAGGCAGGGCTGGAGCAGGGACACATCTGAGAAAGCACCAGGACCCTGGTGGTTTAACAATAGTGGTTAAATACAGCCTTGGAACGGTGGGTCTAGTAATGCTTAAATCATGTTCATGTTACATCCAGTTTATGTTATTTTTACTCTTCAAGCTTTCCACACTGCGTTATTAATTAATCTTTGAAGCTCAATTAACTTCTACAGAAAAAGAAGACAGGGAGGGAGGGAAGGAGGAAGAGAGTGAGGTGGTTGGTTACAGGAAGACCAGGTGTGTCAAAGGCACTGAGCCAAGACAAGGGAACACAGGACCTGCTTCTAGACAGGGGCTGACCAGAATGCTCTGGGACTGTGAGGCCCCAAGAAGGTACTGGTGAGCCCTTGAAATCTGCCTAGTGTGCATGAAGAACCCTTCAGTGCACTGAATTTTATTTAAATTTTATTATGGCTAGACACACTAGACCTCAGTGAACAAAAAAGACACACAAAAAAGGCCCCCTAGAGACTACATCCTACTGGAGGAAGACGACAATAAATAATAAATGCAATACATGGGTAAATGACTTCGTGTGTTAAAAGGTGATAAATGCCATCAACAGGAGCAGAGAAAGGGAGTCAGGGCCCTGGGGGGGGCAGGGGGCCAAGGAGTCTCTCTCTGAGAAAGTTACATTCGAGCCGTAATAGAGTTATGCTATTGGTATGAATGATGAAGAACTTTATGCTGACAAAGTTGAAAATCTATATGAAATTGATAAATTCCCAGAAATATAACTCACCACAATTGAGGCAAGCAGAAAAAAACCCAGAAGTTCTGTGACTATTACGGAAGTGGACTCAGTCGTCAGGAACACCCCAGGCCTACCATCTCAAGGGCGGTTCTACAAAGTGTTCAAGGAACCCAAACAAACCTCCTCAAACAAATCGACTCAGACGATCAAAAAGACTGTATTTTCCAACTCATTTTATGGAGGTAACATACACACGCATCAGATCAGAACTGAAGGAAAATCACAGACTGAACTCCCTGGTGGCCATCGCTGTCAAAATTGCAAGCACACGGAGTCACCTGGATCCAGGAGTGTCTGAGCAGCAGGGTCATGCTTGACAAACTAGCTTTATCCCTACTATACAAGGGGGCTTACTATGAGGGAGTAAAGTAAGTTGACAAAAGACAAAAGAAGAAAAATGAGAAGATCTTCCCAAAGATGCACAGAAATCATTTGATAAAATTCATTATCCATTTAAAAAACTCTTAGCAAATTTAGAAGCTAATAAAAGTTCTCTGTTTAAAAGAAACACAGGGGTGGGGCGCCTGGGTGGCTCAGTCGTGAAGCGTCTGCCTTCGGCTCAGGTCGTGATCCCAGGGTCCTGGGATCGAGCCCCGCATCGGGCTCCCTGCTCCGCGGGAAGCCTGCTGCTCCCTCTCCCACTCATTCTGCTTGTGTTCCCTCTCTGTGTCTCCGTCAAATAAATAAATAAAATCTTAAAAAAACAAAAAACACAGGGGCGCCTGCGTGGCTGTGTCAGTTAAGCATCTGATTCTTGATATCGGCTCAGGTCGCGATCTCAGTGTTGTGAGATCGAGCCCCGTGCCAGGCTACAATGCTGGGCATGGAGCCTGCTTAAGATTCTCTCTCCCTCTGCCTCTGCCCTTTCCCCACACTAAAAATAAATAAATAAATGAAAGAGACACAAACACAAATATGCACTCAAAGGTTTATGCCTGAATGTTCAAGGCAGCTTTCTTCACAATAGTCCCACAATGGAAAGAGCCACAGTGCCTGTCAATGGGTGGTGGGGAACAGAAAGCGGTCCATCCACTCAGCAGGTACTGCTCAGCAACCAAAATGAACAAAGGACAGAACTCTGTACTGCAGGAAAGCAGACGGACACAAGGACCTCGCAGTGCATGTCCCACCAGACACACAGTTCTAGAAAAGGCAGATCTGGGTGCCTGTGGGCCAGCCAGTGGCAGGGACTGGTGGCTGGAGGTCTGAGGAGATGGCAGGGCTCTGGGTCAGGACTGGGGTGTGGTCACAGACGCCACACCAGAAAGCTATGGTGAGCTTTAGCGTGGGTAAACTGTACCTCTGTTAAAAGTGCATTTTAAAATTTTAAAAAACTACAACAAACATCATTCCTAGTGGCAAAATTAGAAACAAAACAAAACAAAAACAAACTCCTATTTTATACCAGGCGTCTCCCCCACCCTCAACCCCAAATAAT